CTTTTGTGATTTTCCAGTCCCTTCAGCTAATTTATCTCAGAACCTGAAATGCTCTTATGGCAGTCCCTTCGTGCCAGGACAGAGAAAGCCTCGGTTGAAAAGCAAATGGAAGACAGTAATTCCAGGGTGGTTATCAAGCAAATCCTTTCATTCACATTAACAGAGAAGGTATACAGACTTAAATATTGTATTTGCTTCTAACTGGAGTTGATTACAAAATTGATCTCTGGTGCAATTGAATTTTGGCAGGGTTCATTTGTCAGGGAAATACTTCTTCAGGAGTTTGCTAAGGTATGGGTTTTGGGCATCTTTGATGGTTACCCAAGGTGGACCTGGAAGAGATTGTAAGTTTCTCTATGCACAGGAGCCTGGCAACCAAGTTTTATGTTGAAATTCACAATCTGCTTCTCAAATGAGGCAAAGCTTGTCTGGTTTTGATGTGATATTAGACGTTACGGAATGTCCATTTGACCATGTGAAACCAATGCCTAGTTAGATATTGTATCAAATTTTTAATGTAATCTTGAGATGGAACACTGGCACCTACTAAGTAACAAATCAATGAGGTTCATAAAATTTGAGTAACCAATTAAAAATGATCCTTATTTGGAGTGCCAGAGAACCATATCAAATCCTCAACGTAATTGTGAAAATGGAACAATGAAATTTGTCTGCTACCACGATAACCATGTTCATGAATTTTGAATGACCAATCACTACTGTTTCACTTATTGTGCCAGCCTCTGGGTTTTGATAAAAGCCTAGGCTACCCTTCGTTATCTGTGGTGCAAGCAGCTGGATTAGGTTGAGACACCATACAGTTTACTTGTTAATTTTTTATATAGCAGATTGTTTTGTCCTCACTTGTGGTCCCTGGTTTGAAAAATTGAATGGGCCTGGTCTTCTTCCCAGTCCAAATCTATGTTCTTATATATTTATAGAATTTTGTTTCTACATATAATCATAGGGTTTGGATGCACTTGGGCTAGCAACCCTGGATTCGTTAACATCTACAGCAACTGCAAACCTTCCCTTTGCTGCTTCGCTTTCCTTCTCTTCCATGACTGAAGAAGATATAAACAATTTGAGAAACTTGCATCGCCTGATGTTACTGTTATCAGGGCCTCGAAAGAATGAAAACTCTAGCGGGGTAAGAGCTTATTCTGTGGAGCTATGATTACATTAATTGGTAGTGCAATGGAAGAAAAATTACCAGGTCTTTATTGCTGGAGGTAGATAGAATATTGTGAACTTCTTCATGCAGTAGAAATAGTTGAAAATATAATTTGTTTTATAGATCAGTGGTACTTTAACTTGCAAGATGATTCATCAATTACTGTCATGTAGGGAGTTAAAGAGGGGAGCTTCTACAAGAATCAGAGCGCGTATGAAATGTCTTTAGCCCTCTATCAATTCACATCTCTTCAGGAGTTAATTCCTCTCCTTTCTGTTATTCCAGAGGTAAGAGTCATGCATGTACAGAGCTTAGTACATATCTGTTCACTCGCCCATGAAATAGAAGCGATTTCACCGCATGGCTGCTTGTGGTAGTTATAACAGCAATTGTGTAGATTGGCAAAATTACACATGTACGTCAAATCAGACTCGGTTGAGTTGGGTTGATTACATTACATGAGACTGCAATCCAAACTTCGGTTGCAAAAATTGCAATATTTTGTGTCTCAACTTAATTTTGAACCAGTTTCTTGGTTCTTAGCATTATCCCCCTAGCATTTTGTACTTATGATTGAATTTTTCTGTGGTTCATATTTGTCATGGGGTAGCAATAATTCGGTGGAAGCAATGTATATTACTTTTTTCATAAGTAACATCTGTTTTTATAACTAATAGCATGGACAATGGTAAACGTTTCAGACGGGTATTAGTGTATCATTTATGTACTAAGATGAATATATTTTACAAAATAGGAAGCAAATATGTCTTTAATTTTTCGTTGAAATTGTTTTTTTGCTTAAAAGATTATTTAGTCGTGATACTTTACACTTATGTGCTTAGGTCCTTTGCTGATTCTTTTTCCTGACCAATAATGCATATGGCAGCTCCCACCAGACTTGCAACAAGAGTTATTTCGTTTACCAGCTGATCTTGCTGGGAAGTTAATTTCTCGCATTGCTGCAAGGACAATACGGAGGGTCCTCCTATGAAATCTGTCCAGTTGTAATTAGTCATGGCTGTCGTCTTTTGTGGCCTCTGGTGCTGTTGCTTGGTGCATTCGTAATTCTTTGGGGTCAAAGGGAATGATGCTACAACATAGAAAGTAGCCACCATACCCATAACATCCCCAACTTGGATGAAAGGAGTGTCATATGCATATTCAATTCGGAAGTGGATGAAGACTGTTGCCACCAATTTGTATAATTTAACTGTGTAGTCCTCTTTGACGTATAATGAGAAGTGTACTATCGGCACTAGGATTGAATAGGATATGTAAATCCTTTCAAATGAACATTCTTAAGCCATCAAATTTCACTGAACCAGGTAAGGACTAATTGTTTTTTATTCTGAATCTCGGCTCAGAATTTTTTGCAGCAACTTTCTGGATCTGGAGCCATTGTTGCTGTTTCATATCTAGTCACTGTACCATAACATACGAGTTGGGTTGAGCATGAGCATGCATCGTAGTGAATTCAAAGGCTTTGTTAGGTCTGGAGCAGGAGCCAGAAAACTGAATTATGCAGGTTAGTACTTCTGTGAGTTTCTCTTATGTTGAGTGTACATTACAGAATTGTTCTTTTAGATAGATAGGGAAGAGGAATTTTCATTGAGACATCAAGCTATAAGTCGATGTATACTTTATGCACTTTTGAGCAAAACATAAGAGGTATATCAGGAGAAAGTCATATGTGGTGACTTTGATCTATCGGAAAGATTAGTATTCTGAACGTCTAGTGAAGAGTGCGGAATCGAGAAATCCTCGAGAGCACTCAATTTTCCCCTTGACCTTTGCTCGTCTTTCTCATTTTGTCTGCTCCTCTCCTGTTCAGGACCATCGGAATAGATCAATTGGCCCTTAAGGATATAAATGCAACAGAACATAATTGAATTTGCTAACCTAATTTATTTTATCATTAGATTAACAATGAGTCTCAATAATATGTGATATATGGATTAGTTTTTAAAATGAGATACGGCCTGTGAGCAGCCATTATTTTTGTTCTAAGGTTTGGTGTGTTGAACTAATTTTGATTCCCAACTTTTTATGGTTAAACTTATATGCCTTGTTGTGGTGTAAAAAAATTGTCTTAACTCATATCTAGGGTAATTTGGAAGTTAGTACAAAAATTTAAACTTATTTGAGCAAAATTACATTGAGAAAATTTATTTGGTCATAAGTGTATTTTTTTGAAAAAAGACTAAAAAATTATTTATTATTCCAGTATACTCACTTATTCTCTCTCTCTCTCTCTTTCATTATCTCTTTTCTATTTTCTCTCTATTTATTTCTCTATCTCTCTCTTTCTCTCACATTGATAATTTATTTTTTTAAAATTTGTAAAGATTTGATTTAATTTTTTCGTCTCTCTCTCCTATTCTTTTTCTCTCTCCTTATATTAAGGTTACAACAATACAATTACACTAATCAGTTACACTAATTAGTTACAATTATTCTATAAAATACAAAATAGTTATTCATGTGTTCTAATAAACTAAATAGTTACATTAAATAATTATATGAAATTACAACATCAACTCAATTTGTTATTCAGTTATTTACATAAATCAAAGAATTATACCATTTAATATCACAATATAGTTGTATCAATTATATATACCAAATTGGATTTATCATTACACAAAAATTTTTATTATTATACTAAATTTGGTATATATAATTGGTGTAACGTTTCTGTGATATTATTTAGTTTATGTAAATAATTAAATAACAAATTGGATTGATGTCATAATTTTGTGTAATTATTTGGTTAATTAGAACGCATGAGTAATTATTTTGTATAATATAGGACAATTGTAACTGATTTGTATAACTAATTAGTATAATTGTATTGTTGTAATGTTGATACAAGTAGAGAGAAAATAGAAAGAGAGAGAGAGAGAAACGGTTAGAGAAAATAGGGGGAGAGAAAAAAAAAATAAGGAGAGATGAAAAAATAAATTAAATCTTTACATATTAGAAAATAAAATAAATTATTAATAATAGATAGAGAGAGAATATAGGAGAGAGATGCAAAAAGTAAGGGGAAGAGAGAGAAAATAGGAGAGATAGTTTAATGAAATCTTTATATATTTGATAATATAACTGTTAATCAATAATGTATAATTTAAGAGAGTATTTTAAGTAAAAAAAAATTAATTTTATTTAAATTTTGTACCTAAACATAATATATTTTATTAAAATTAAACTTATAAACAATTTATTCATATATTTTTTCTCAAATAAATCTAAAAATTTATACCCACACTCAAAAAACTCAAATATCTAACCCAATGAGATTTGCGGGCTAACCAAGAAGGCACTGGTCCGTTCAATTTTTCAGTAAAGGAAGTGAAGTTAGGGTTAAATCAGACGGAGTGGCCGTCCCCATTCAACTTGAAAGTTTATTTCTGCATTGAATAATTTTTATAAGTAACTATCCGTAGCAGTTTTTGAATATTCTTCTTATATTACAACTTTCTCCCCACTCTTTGTGGTTTTAGTCTATTCTTATTAGGCTGTTCAATCTATACTACAGATAAAAAATATAGTATTTCATCTTTTTAAATGATATTTTGTAAAAGAATTTTTTTTGGCCTACCATACCGATCAAATATAATATTTTTATTCAAATTCTGTCCAAATTAATCGGATAAATACTTTTTGTAGTTATTAATTTTTAAATTATTTTAACAATTTAATTAAGTAAATTGTATCAATTTAACAATATAATAAACTAATAACACCAAAGCCTAAGGTATAATAATCAATACATCATAATTATTGCATAAATACAATAACAACTATTTTAGATTTAAACCATATAAAACACATCAAAAATTATAACTACTCCATTAGATCACCACAAATCATGTAACCTGTACAAAAAATAAGTTGATGTTTTAGCAACTCAAACATTTACAACAATAACAATATTATAAATTATACCAGATAAATAATCTTATAATTACTAAAAAAAAATATGTAAAAGTTAAATAACACCTTTTTGTTAGTGTCATTCACCTCTCTTCACTCAAAAGTAATTTTAATTTTCTCTACAATTATTTCTTAAATAAAACAGAGTAAGGAAAAAAATCTCAGAAATTATATACTACGATCACAAATAAAATCTCAAAAATTATAAAATCTCATAAATTTACAGAGACAAACAGTTATATATAAAATCTCAGAAATCATACTATATGACCCCTTTCTTGATCTCAGAAATGCACTAGCACATAGCACAAATTGCATAAACAGCCCTAAGCAAAATCACCAATCAACAACCCTAATTAATAACTATACATAAAATTTCAGAAATCATAGTATATAACTTCTTTCTTGATCTCAGAAATGCACCATCATAGAGCACAAAGTCATAAAATCTCAGGAAAAAAATTACCAACAATCCTAAACAAAATCACCAACCAATAGTTCTAAGCAAAACCATTAACCATCGACAGAGTGTCACTTGGGACCATCAATTTAATGAATGGAGTACCTGGGACCGTTGATTCGATGACATTGAATTGCCCCAAACAATTAATTGAAAGAGATAAAGAGAGAGGACAGAGCCATAAAATCTTAAAAATTATAATATTTGTAACCCTAATTAACAGTCCTAAGCAAACCTATCAATCATCGATGAGACCATCAATTCGAAGAAATCATTACTTAGAACCATCGTCTCGGTGGCATCAAATTGCTTCCTGAGAGACCCCTAGAGAGCGAGAAAATGGGGCCCAGGAGGGTGGGACTCCAAGAGAAGTCAAAGCACTCATAGCAGAGAGGCAAGCTATTGAGCTAGATTAGCAAGCACAGAGAACAGTGAGGGCAAGAGAGTCAAGTGATTGAACTAGGACAACTAGCATAGGGAACAAAGAGGGCAATAGAGGCGAAATGAGGAGGCGTTAATATATACAGGGGTCGAATAGAAATACAAAAATTTAATGAATATTTCTTACATTTATCCGATTTAATCAAAAGACCAAAATATCTTTTACATTCTTACCAGATTTTTCAATTAATCGACCAATAGAGTCAAATAAGATAGAGAATTACGGATAATTAAAAATTTAAATACCCCTAATTTTGACCAATGTAAAAGTAATATTTTTCTTTTACCTTCCGCATAAAAAGGTGATATTTCTTTGTAAAACATTAAAGGGTAATCTAATAAAAGTTTATGATCTCTTGGTCGACGTTTAACATTTAAGACTAAGAGGTTGAAATACATTTTCACAAAACTTCAAAAAATATCAATGCAATTTACTCGACACAATTGTCGGCTTTAAGTTTTGTTTCTTTATCAATCACCCCTTTGGGGAAGCTCACAATTTTTTTTCAGTTTACAGACAACCACAACTGTATAAAGGGTTATACACATTTTTTTCACCCTCTCGAAAAATTGACCAAAAAAGCATCGCATACAAGGTAAATTACATTTAGTCTTACGATGTGTAGAGCTTTCCACCGATTTCAGCGGAATACCGGGAAACAGAACAGAAATAATACTCAAATATACATATTCATGATGGAATATATCTTTCCAAGATTCTTATGGATGTTCCTATCAACACCCACAAGATAGCACACACTACTCCAAGAATTGAAAAACACAAGAATCCACTCTTAAATCTGCCAGACCTAACAGCAGTTGAAGTGGAGTTACCTGCATCAACATTTGTGTTTCTGACACTTAATCTTAACCTACCAAAGCTAGACATTCGGTCAAAGGTCCTATTTACCAAAGCACATTCTGAAGCAGAAGCAGGAGTGGTCGGTATTGACTCCACGAAGGCCCATAGGGCAGAAGTCCATGAATCCGCACCATCATCATGTTTGCTGCTTTGATTATGATTTGCTCCAGTAGGTTGATTTGCAAAATTACCATCACATACCACACCTAAAACATACCCAAAACTACTAATGTTAGCATACAAATCCATGCGTCTATAGTAGCAGAACAACTCTTGAAGCTTGGCTCAAACTCCTCTTTCCCTACTTGGGCTTGAGAGTTCTCGCCATTTGGATGATGACATGGTCTGCCCATACCATCCATCTGACCAAGAGGTCCACGAGGTTAGACGAATTCTTACAAATGAAAAACAAAAATATATAAATCATAGCTTGCGTGGTAACCAAGTCCAACTGCTATGACTAAAATTTGCACTATTTTCTGTACCTGAAATAGGTGGAGGAACAGTTAGCTGGTTTGCTTCTGCTGGAGTCAAGACACTGCATCTTTGATCTTGTGCCCACAGCTCACCATTGATATGATTTGCTACATGTGACTGAGGTTGCAGCTGGTAATTTACACCGTCATTCTGAATATTGCTCAAATGTAAATCTGAAACCAGGTTTACAGTTCCATTCTCAAGATTATTCAAAAATGGTTGAGAAATTTGTACTGGGTCACCCACTCCCATCTCATGGAGAAACATGGCTGCATCATGATACAGGTCAAATGCACTCAAACCATCAAAGTAATCGAACTGCAGATTCTCCAGTGGATTATTAACATTTTGAACAGTAGGTTCAGGGCCCATGAGATCATCCATTTCAAGAAAATCTTCAAGGAAATCCTCTTCAGCCAAGCAAGGTTCTTGTGCATGAATGACGGGAACAGATGTGACCTCAGGTGCCTCATATGATTGAAATGTGGCTGACTGTATCAAATCCAAGTTAGCCTGTAAATTATTCTGCTGGCTGTCAGGTGGCAGCACTACGCTCTGGTCGGTTAGATTGACTTCCCTTGAGCACTGATCCACCAGGGTACTTTGATCTTCTTTCTCACCAACAAGCTGCTGTAACCCATAGTCATAATTAACAGTAAGTGGGGGCACAAGCACAGGCTCATCCACAAAGCGGTTCATGAATTCCTCAGGACCGCCTAATGGGGGCTGCTGTTGAACATTAGCTATGGAATTATCAATAGCAGCAACTCCATCAAGCCCTTTAACAGTATTCTCTTCATCATCAGGCCAGTTTTCTTCTTTAAAATGGGCACCATATTGCTCACCATTTTTGGGACCAGCCCCACTCTTCTTGTAGACCTTATACAGTGCATAATAATCCTGCGCAGACTGGCACCTCTTCAGCTCCTCCTCATCAATGGTATACTCGTGCATCACCCAGTCCGTGCGCTCACCATTAGGAGCACGGCCTTTATAGAAAACCAGGGTCTTCTTCACACCAACTGGGCGAGAATTAGATGTAATGCTGCGATCCTTCCCAGTTGCTTTCCAATACCCATACCTGGTTGCTCTATTTGACCTTGCTCCATTGGGATACTTCCTATCCCTGGGGCTGAAGAAGAACCATTGCCTGTCACCAGACTTAAATTTAGACTGCCCTGCATAGCAATTTAGCAAAAAACAAGATCAATCAAATACCCAAAACATTACATCATAAAGTGAACAGGAAGATGAATAAACCACTGCCTCTAGCAAATTCCAACAAAATTTGTGACAATCTATAATCTATAATATAAAACAAGGCAGGCTTAAAAAAGTGAATCTGAAAGTCTCAAATAGACTCATCAAACGGCCACCAACATCCCTCTCAAAACCATTCACATTGCACTGTGCCTGAAAGCACAAGTTATTTACTAAACCAAATTATTTACACAAACAGAATTTCAATGCAAACAATCACAATCAAGTAAGGCTCACAGCTCAAAATTAGAAATTCCAACATTTTTTTCTCCAAAGAAACCCCAACAAGGCAAAAAAAATAATAAACATTTCCACTCCTCATTCAAAAACTCAGCTGCTTCTCATGTTAAGTTCTTTTTTGAAATAATTCTGCTCCAAACTCACACAATAAATATCAATCAACCCCACGGTACTTGTGGTCAAGCTGAACTCACATCATCATTTCAGAAAACAAACCAAACACCAAGCAGATTTCACATTGAACCAAACCCACTATTTCAGCAACCCAAACCAATCAAGAAAATAATTGTCTTAATCAAACCCAAAACAACATTAGGACATTTAGACGAACTAGCACAACAGAATTTTTATCCAACGTACATATCATGCATTAAGAAACCAAACCAACCAAACAACAAACTTCAATCTAACACGATTCTAATAGAATGAAACCATTAAAAATATAAAACACAACCGCTTCTAAATTTATTCTGGATGTATTAAATAGAAAATAACACAGCAAAAAAATACCCATTTCTATTCAAGTCAACGAGAAATTGCATGAAGAAACAAAATCGGCACTACCAATTCACAGATTTCTAAAGCAACAATAGCCTCAAACCATCACATCATTGAAAACATAGAACATGATTATCATAGTAGCATTCAATATCTAAATCCTTAAACATAAGCAAATAAATCAGACCCATATATATCACAGGATCGAGAGTCATACCAGGCAAGTCCTCTGGTTCCCACTTGTACACATCGATCTCGGTGATGATGTCGAGCTTGAGCCTCCGACGGCAGATCTTCTTCTTTAGATGGTACAGAACCAGCTCTTCATCCGTCGGGTGGAATCGAAACCCCGGTGGAAAAAAATTTCCATCCAAGAAACACGAAAAAGACTCCGGAATCGTCATTGTTTCGAACCACCCTTAATCAAAACCACTTATATATATCTATATATAGGTAAATATAAATATATGTATACTAGAGTGATTGCACTGAGATTTGAGATACAGAATCGGTATTCGAGGGTTGAATTCAGAGAAGGGGAAGACGAGTTAGGGTTTGAGAATTGGGGGTCTGAGAGAGACCCGAGCGGTGTAGACGAGGGAGAGTGGTTTGGTCAAAGAAGAAATAGTAGAGATTGGTGCGGACGCGAAAGTTCTTGGAATTGGGGTTTAGTTTTGGGGTGGGGGTTAGGTGTGACTGAAGCAAAGTGAGCCTTGGTCTAAGTGTAATTTGGGGAAACTGATGGCTTTTTTTTTTTTATTGGTTTGTCAATGGGAAGGTTCCATTGGATTTACCATGACAAATGTGTAATTCTTTATACATCAAATTTGTATATTAAAATTTGCATTCAATTAATTGCAATCGTTAAATTATTGGTAAAACTCATTGATCAAATGACTATAAGTGATTTAAGTGAAAAAATTTTTGCACATAACATTGCTCGTGGTGCAGTTTGAGCGATAAAACTCTGACCTAAGAATTATTTTTAATTAAAAAATGTATATACGATTACAAATAAAAGTGTGAAATAAACATAATTTGATACAATGTTAACCAAACAAGTGTACAAGATACAATCCATAGCAAATATAATTTTGCTTTTTTTTTTTTATTTGTGGTACTAATAATATTTTTAATATCTAGTATATTGGTATAATAATATATCAAATTATATGATTTTAATATAAAAATTCAACCGTTAAAATTATAATAGTGTTTTTGAATCATGTCGTATAAATTATCACATCATTAAATCAATAAAGTCAAGATTTTATGTATTTTAATATAACTGCTGACTAATCAATACTCATATTACTCTCTTGATATGTTTTAATGTTGAAGATATTGCTAAAGTACTATTACTAAATACGAAAAAAAAAATATTATTATTATTTTTTCAAGAAAACGAGTTTATAAATGTCGTATTTGACTGGACATAATTTTGCACACCAATTAGCGAAGGACACTTGGAGCAGGATCAAACCGTTCTGCACACAGATTGTCCCCAGAGGGGATCTCGTCTTCGGATGACTCGGGATCCAGAGGATGCCTCATTCCCAATGACATCACCATTTCTCTGCCATTGTTAGATCCACTGACATTAGTCAAGTCAAATATGTGACTAGGGATAAGGGAGGCCAACGAAATCGTCTTTCCCACGAAACTATTTGGTAAGGAGTTCGAAAAGATGAAAAATTTGAGAAATAAATAAAATATATTTACTTTTTTTTTAACTCACTAAAATCAATACTTCTAAAATCGAAAGAAAAGTGAATGAAAAATTAATTATTTGTGTTGAGATGTATCTTATTTGTCTATATATCTTTTTATATATACATATATTATGTATATATTAATTTTATATAAAAATATAATATATATATATATATATTAAAATTTAAAAAAAATAAATTTAAAAAAAATAAAAAATTTAAATTAAAAAAGTTATTTTTTCTATCTTAATTAAGAGTGAAAATTTTCGACCCAACACGATGACACGACTCGAACTTGATATGAAAATAAACAGATCAACTCACAACTCAACACGACAAAATTAATTAAATGAGTTAAGTTAGATTTGACTAATATTCGACACAAACCCGTAATAATTTAACACGAATTTGACACGACACGACTTGATTGTCATCCCTAATCTTAGCCAGCACAAAAAAAAAAATAGTCATTTTTATTTTTCATCCATCCGACTAAACACAAAGAAAGGAAAATGCATCCTTCCTATTTTCCACCCTCGAAGAATAAAAAGTGTATCTCTCATATTTTTCATCTTTCCTACTTTCCATCCTCTCTATCAAACGGAGCATAAAACTGTTGACTACTTATTTACATGCAATAATTATTTACCTGAACTTAAACCAGTGTCTATATTATCATACATTAAAAGTTCATTTATATGGAAGATATATTGTCATCCAAAATAATGTATATAATTAGATTTAAGAAATTTAAAAACTGTTGCAAATCTAAAATAAAAAACCTACTAATTAAAATAAAATAATACACTCACCTGGATGCAGAACAACAACAACGATTGGAACCAAAAAACCAGAATAAAGTTGAGCTCTGTATCCACAATCTCCTTAAGACAAATTTGCTCATTCTCGATGCTCAAAGTTGATGAGCAATTGTCTTCCAAGATAAAATTGATTTATGTTTTTAAAGAAACAATACTTCAATTTCTAAGATTCTATTGAACACAATTTTGTGCTTTGTACTTGAATCGACAAAGAAAAATAACAATGCAACAATATGTATGTAGAGAGAGAAAAGTATGAAAGACGGAAGAATTGTTCTTGAATTTTGATGTTTTCCAAATGGCAAAAGGTCGCCCTTTTTATAGACTCTAGACGTCTGTTCAATTAAATTGAATGGGCAAGGAATGTTACTATTTGTCACACCTGTTCAGAGACACACTCTGGATAACGACAATTACATGACACATATTTTAAAAATTAATTTTAAAAACAGTTGAATTATGCACTAAAAACTGAAGACAACAAACTACGAAGCGAGATGACCACAGCAGAAGGTGTCCCAAGCAAAAGCGTCAAGTCCTTGGGCCCCACTTGCCAAGGCAAGGCACGGCTCCGAGAGCCTTGGGCGCCACCTGCGGGCTCCGTTGCTTGTTTTGTCCGCTGTTTCGATTTGATTCATTTTTCATTTAACTCTAAATTTAAAAATTCAGTCTATTATAGTAATGCAAATTGATAATTTTTTAGACATCATTTCTCATTCAAATATTAATGATTTTGAACAAATAATTAAATTATGATTCCACTAATTTGATGTGAGAGTCCCATTTTAATTTATTTTTCATAACCATTTTTTCAACAAATCTTTTGTCCCGAAGTAGCCTCATATTTGAATAGACATTCTTTTATTGCTTCTCCATTTTTTGTGATATTGCCCGAGCAAAAAGGAGATTATCGTCAACAAGTAGCAAATGGGAAAACGCAGGAGCTCTCCGACTAGCTGCTAAAACCTATATTGAACCATCCTTTTCGGCATTCGAGAACAAAGCTGACAAACCTCTAGAACATAGACAAAAAAGGATAAGACGACAATGGATCGCCCTAGCTAAGACCTCTTTGAAGCTTAAAATAATAAAGTTGTTGTCCATTTAGCACCACTAATAAGAAACAATATTAACATAAGACATAATCAAATGAATCCACTTATCATTAAACCCCAATTTGGACATAATCCTCTCCAGGAATATCCACTTCACTCTATCGTAAGTTTTACTCATGTCTAATTTAATAGACATATAACATTTACCTTATTTTCTCTTCCCCTTCAAATAATAATCCAACTCGTACGACATTATCCATTATTAACTTACTTGGAACAAACGCACTTTAATATTCCAAAGTAATCAATAGCAGAATCCTCTTGATATGATTGGCTAGCACTTTTGCAATGATTTTGTAGATAACATTACACAAACTAATGGGGCAAAATTGAGATAGTATTTCAGGAGAGAGAACCTTGAGGATCATGACTATATGAGTATAATTAATCTTAGGACATGTCACACCTCCATTCAAAAAAAACCCAAAACTGGCTTCATAACATCTTCACCAATCACTTTTCAAAACTTTTGGTACAAATCAACTGTCATTCCATTTGATCCAAGAGACTTCGTTGGATGAATTTGCTTCACTGCATCAGTAACTTCTTCCCTAATAAGATCCCTAGTCAGCATATCATTCATTTGAGAAGAAACTTTTTGAGGAACACACCCAAGAACTTTATCAAGATCTTCTTGTGAAGGATGATTGGAAGAAAACAAATTCGAGAAATAATCACCAACCATATTCTCAATTAGGGTTTTTTCGGTAATCCATTCTCCAGCTTCGTTTTTAAGACCAATGATAAGATTTCGTTGTCTCCTCATACTAGCTTGACCATAAAAAAAATTTATATTTCGATCTCGTTCTTTTAACCATAACGACTTTGACCTTTGTCTCTACTTAATTTCCTCAACTTCAAGTAATTGATCTTGGGCGGCTCAACAATATTTGGGGCCTAAAATAATGATGGCAAATGAGACTTTTTTATTTTCTTAATAATAATCTATTTTTTTAATTTAAAATCTATTATTTTTACTTTTTGATGAGATTTAAAATTGCTAATTATTTTTTTATTCAAATTTTGCTAATATATTTTTTTGATTAATAATATAACATTGACATTTGATCATAAATATTTATAAAAATAAAATTAATTTTTTATTAATATTTTTATGTTCTTTTTATTTATTTTTGTATGTTCTTTATTGAAACTGTTGTATTAAATGATTGACTTTATTATAAATAAATTCATTTTTATCTTTCTTTTGGATTATTTTACGATATTTGAATTTTACTTATTTATCTATGCAACTTTCACCTAATTTTTTATTATATTTTTTTTTGTTATGAATAAGAAATTTATCAAAATATTTTTTTAATGAGAATGAATGATTTAACTGGTGTTTTGCGTTAAAATGAAAAAAAAAATGAGTTTAAGAGAAGTAGATAATGTGTTTGGTTTAATTTTTTATTTTTTCTTGAGTAAAGAGATATGCTTATTATACTTCTTTTGATTGGAGAAAGCGATGAATTTTATTATCATTTTTTTTAATCTTTTTTTGTCCTTTAATAAATGTGATTGTGTGAGTTAGTCTAGACTTTTGGGTCCAAATTTTTAATTTTTTTGTTGGTTTACTCATTCAAGAATTTTTTTGTTAGGCTAAATTGTAGTAAATTTTATTGAAAATTTTGGAACCGGTCCTCCTTTGTAGACTTATTTAGTAATAAGTTCATCAAAGAAACTTGTTTAATATTAAGTCTTTTTTTATCTTCATTGTCCAAAATATCTCTAATAGTTATGTTTAATTTAAACAAATTTAAAAACTAATAACTCATAAATTTTTGGAGTTTGACTAACATTAAAATTCTCTCTTTCATATTTATCTACTAGTAATAACTCATGCCTAAAGACACTTTGCAATCTAAAAACTCATCATTTTAAAATAGTTTTTTTGACATTTGCTTTAATTAAAGAAATTGAAATCAATCAAGTCCCGCCATTTTTTCAATAAATTTCGTCAGACTTTCCGCTAAAATAAAAACTCAAAAAAATCGCAACCTA